AGATCAATCTAACAAGGAAGAAATTGGAAGCAGCGAACAATAACCAAGAAGGATCCAGAGCATTATGATTCATGAATATGAAAAGAAGCAAAAGGAAAGTAACTGGTTGTTGGTTCTAGCTAACTGCTGAATTTGAAGATGAAACATTTAATGGAAATTCAAGAAGATTCTTAAAAAAATCAAAGTGAATAGGTGTGGTAGCTCATGATGGTACGTATATCATTTATTATTACACTATCTTTCTGATGAAAAATGTAAATATGACAAGAAATTTCTTAGGTTTGGTTTCAATTTCAAAATCATAGATTATTAATTCACTTACGACCTCTTTTCATGTGTATTCCCAAGCAATGTGAAAGTAGAATATATACCTACTCTTGTCGTTGAATTCAATTGGAAATTACAAAAAATGAAATTTGTATAAGGATAATACTCAGTCTTTATCTTCTTCCTTTCACACAGTTAAGACTAACGTGTTTGACCTTGTAACTTGTCTGCCCCAAAAGTCCTAGATTCTTTTGGAAATGCAAGTTTCATCACATAAGACTGAAAAAGAGGAGTAGTTGACCTTTTACCTTACTTGACTTTGTTAAGTCAATGCTTTTCTATCTTAAAATATGGGGTCAACCATTCCAGAACAAACTAACGTGACTATACAAGACAAGATCAAGGCAAAATTAGGTGTAAACTATGAAAAAATGGAATCCAATTCCTCTATAAGAGCCAAACCTAAAGTCCACCCAAAATAAGGATTCATTTTCAAATCTAATGATATAAAAAATTATTTATCTTTGGTGTTTTATATATAAAAATACATATACAATTAAACAAACGGATACATAGAATAAATATTGATTTATTCGATTCATTGAGGGACATGAATCAATGTAAATCATTTTCCATTCATGTTTCCCATGATTTGGTCCTGGGACGGAGCTAGTATTAGATGGGGTATGGGGCAGCTGCCCCCCTAAAGTTTTGAAAAATGTCAAATATGGTACATCAATTTTTGTTTCCTACAAAATTTATTTTTGAAGTTAATTTGAATTATATAGGGTAGGGACCATTCAAATGTAAAGAAAATATTTAGGATCTAAGTAAAGGCATCATTTTTCTCCTTATGACAAATTCTTATGAGACATGATAATTTTATTTAAATAAGAACAAATATAGAAAATAGTTAAGATCTAGTTATATTAAGATAAATTTATATAAGTTTTTACATTAGTTATATATGATTTTTTTAAGAAAGATTTATATTATATTAAACCAAAGTTGATTTGATTTATATAACCTTACAAAAAAATATTCTTTTAAACTATTTGTATTTATTTAACTGTCTTAAATTTTATATTATTTAAAAATAGTTAAATATATTTAATTAATATAAAATTTAGCATGAATGATATAAATGGTATATGCATAAAAATAATGATTGATTTAAAAACTAATATAAATTATACAAATGTAAACTGCTAAGGTTCCATTTATTAATGGTGTATTGTAAGTATAAGTTTTTTTTTTTTTTCAATATCCTAAAAATATATAAAATATTAATTAAAATTAATAAAAATATAAAATATCAATTAATAATAATAAATTTATATTTTTCTATAAGTTATCGTGCAAAAAAATCTATATAAAAAATGATCAAACAAAGCCTAAATGACTCACAAAATGTTTTCAAATTTCACCTGCTAATTTAAATTTCTGGCTCAGCCCCTGATTTGGTCATTTGTTTTCCTTGCTATTTGAAAGTGGCAACTGGCAAAGAAACTAAATTCATCAATGCATATTAAAAAGCAACCAATATTGATTTTTCTTGCGTGGATTCAGAAAAGGGTTTTTCCTAATATCATAAGTATGAACAACTTAAGAAATAGGCAAATTAAAGGAAGGCAACATTGACTTATTAATTGTCAACACCTAAACTCCATCGTGTTCACGCACAAAAATACAAATAGAAAACAACAAAAGAACTGCCGGTCGTACAACGCCACTGCCTCATATTAAAATTAAAGTCTTACGTATCCATGGCCTCGGCCTCACGTCAAAATAAAAGCAATTGAGACCGAGGAGGAGGCGAGGACACAAGGGAAAAAGTGGTAAAAAGTTATTTTTAACCCCTCACCTTATCAAGTTTGAAAGTTTTAACCTCTTATCTTATATTATGATATTTTTAACCCCTCACCTATTAAAATCAAATAAAATAACCCTCACTTTATACTAACTGTCAACTCTGTTAGCTAAAAATGGATTTTTATCAATTAACAGTTAACTAATAACCAATTAACAGAATTAATAAAATATTATAAAATTAGTTCTGTTAATTCTGTTAGCTGAAAGAAGATTTGTGACAATTAATGCCAACTAACAGTTAACTAATAGAGTTAACAGTTAATTAATAGAATTAATAAAATATTACAAAATGAAAGATATTTTCTTCAATTTTAATAAATGAAGGGTAAAAGTGTCATAATATAAAATGATGGATTAAAACTTACAAATCTAATAAGGTAAAAGATTAAAAATATCATAATATAAGATAATGGGTTAAAATTTTTAAATTTAATAAAGTGAGAGACTAAAAATAAATTTTTACCAAAAAAATGATGTGGAGTCTGACATGGACCGCATAATTATAATTATTAATGGAAAAATGCTTTCAACTGTAGAACTTTTTTTTACCCAAATCAATGATCATATTTTGTTGTTGTCCAACTCAAATTGGACTGAAAAACAACATTCTTATTTAGCATTTAATGCTGGCTTAATTTGCGTGAGAAACATGAGTACCAAGAAAAATGCTCATGTTGAATTTTGACCCTTCTAGATGTAGGCATAGTTTAGTTCCTCCACGGTTGTAGCCGGTGGCAAATTTATTTACCTGCTCCTCCTCAGGGTAGGAACAGCGGTTGGAGCTTAGTTCGAGTCCAACCAACCTATTCCCTCATTTCTTCATTAAACTATAGGAGTCCTATCATAGGATTAGGATGTGATTTGTCAAGATGACTCATGGCTTACGTCCTCCATAAAAACGAAACAGATTAAGGACTTACTCAGGTTCAATAATGTAAACATCTAGGTTTGTATTTATGTTATACACAGCTGCTTGCCGTGACTTTGAAACAAATAAGGAGATATTTAATCCTTTTGTAGTTTAGATTTAAGTTTTAAATTAACATAAAGCTTAGTTTTGCTAAATACATTTGTGGATGGTGTGTATGTGAACCTTTGGAGAATAATTTGTTTTGAGTTGTGTGTAAGTTTATTTGTGAACATTCTAAAACAAGAATAATTCCAGTAAAATAAAAATTGGAGAGGAAAATGTGGACAAGAATAAGAGTGAAAAATAATGGGATTTGAATAAAACAAGAATTGTCATTGTCTTTTACAAAATTTGGACTGTCTAATACAAATTCATCTGTAATACTGCTAAAATCAATGGTGTTTTCTACATAATATTCTAGGAATTCATCCTCATCTAAGAATGAACTTTTAATCTCTTCTTCATGAGAATCCATGAAAAATGCAGTCTGAATTGGTGGGTCATTTTCTACCATGATATTTTCCTCATCAGAACCAGAATATCCCCTGTTGTCTTCAATGCCATTGCGTCTAACACTGAACCAGTCTTCACTCGAGGTCCAATCCGGTATGCCTGATTCAGGGGACAGTGAACTTCCAACCAAGTTCTTGATCCTCTCCACAGGAGAATTTGAAGAAGAAGAATCTTCATTAATCAGATTCCTGGGACTTTCCAAAAGCTCCATTGAATTCCAGAATCCTTGATCCAATACGGTATTTGGAGAAATTGTTTGGAACCCCTTTTCATCCCCTGAGTTGGGCTCTGTTTTTTCCAGAAATGGATGTTTGAGCAATTCTGTAGCCGTCCATCGATCCTTTGCGTCCCTTTTCAGGCATTTCCCCAAGAAATCTTTAGCTCTCTTCGAAAACCAGCTTGGAATCTCCGGCGACTCATCGGAAAATCCGATCTTGTAGAGAGCTGAGACAGGGTCATTCAGCTCCGGCCACGGCATATTTCCGGTACTCATTTCTATGATCGTGCATCCAAGAGCCCATATATCCGCTGCAAACCCCTGTTCCTCTCCTCGTGCCACCTCCGGTGCCATGAACGCCGGTGTACCGGAAAACCCTGACGCAGAAACATCTCCCACCAATTTAGCACACCCCAGATCGGCTAGCTTCACGCCAGATTTACCCAACAGAACGTTCTTGCTCTTGATATCACAATGTGCCAAACCATTGATATGAAGATAATCCAAACCTTGTAGAATCTGTTGAGTGTACAATCTGATCGTTTCCTCCTCCAATCTCCCACCTTGCCTGCGAATTTCATCTGAAAGTGTGCCGCCGGGAACATACTCCATGCAGAGATTGAACATAGGCTGCTTGTTCTCATTGGTAATTCCATACCCCAAGTACTTGACTAGGTGGGGAGAGCTCAATTTGGACAAGAAACGTTGCTCCCTTTGCAAGAACACAGAGTGGGAAAGCTCGGTGGACTTAACCGCCAAGAGCTCTCCGGAGGGGACAGCGGTGGCCAGGGAGACGGTGGCGGTAGCGCCGCGACCAATGGTGGGTCCTCTAATCCACTCCATTGAGAAGAAGTGGAAAAGATGGAGAGGAGAAATTTGAAGGAGATTTTTTGCGTTTACTTGGATGCTATGCACATATATATATTAATGTGGGGATGACTTTTGTACCATAGTTTTTAGGTGACTTCATACAATGCATAATAATAAGTTGTAAAGCCCCAACGAACAAGATTCTTTATTACATGGTGTCAACCTTTTGTCTTTTGTAATAACGCCACATGGCAAATGGAGAATGTGTGTCGAAGAGGTCATACCGTCGTCGGACGACGGCAGCTTTGGATACTAAAATGACCATTCATATGATGACACGACGTGAGCGCGCATGCTGCCTTGATCACGCCATTAAGGGAGGGGAGAGGGGGCCGGTGAGGCGTGTGTAATTGTTTTAAAAGCTACCTTTGCGGCGGCCAAAGGTTTAATGTTGTGAACCGCGTTGCTATTGCTTAGGTTGATGTGCAAGCTGTCATTATGTACGCTTCCATCTTATAAAGATGCGCAATGCCAAAATTAAAGCCACTTACAGCGGCATATACGTTAAATTTTGGAGGGGGGTATTCACTCACCAGACAATGCTTCCAACTGTCAATCACCTTGGACCATATTGGATAATGTAGGACAAAGTTGATTCATATTAATTTCAGTAATAATTGTTCAGTTTGAAAGTTTGTGTTGTTAAGTAAATATGTTGATTTCTGTTTAAATCTTGAATTGTTTGTGAATTTATAGGATATAATATCTTAATCAAGAATTTTAATATGTAAAGTGAAAAAAAAGATTGGCATTTATTTTGTAAGGATAGGTCCGAGGTTAACGATCTCGGACATATTGTTATAATTTTTTAATAACCGAAGTGAAGCACTTTCTAGTCAAACAGCTGTATGACAGTTATGGTGAGCATTACTACACCAGAATTTCTCTTAATTTTTCGGTCCTGAGTTTACCGCCTTAAGGGACACTCACACTCCGATTATTCTGCTAAGCAAGCCACGTGTATACCTTACAAAGGCCTATAAATACCCCCAGAGACCATCTCAGAAAGGTAATTGAAACCAACCTAAAGCTCCTCTTTAATTATCTCAAAAAGGTAGATCCGATTATTGCTGAATTAAGTATCGGAGTGTCTACCCCGAGGACTCACCTTAGGGCTTTGCAGGTTTATCCGAAGTGAAGATGCAGATTAAAAAAAGACTTCTGATTTGGTGCAATTACACATTTATTTGCAGACTTATGTGACAGAGACTCTGTTCATAGCATTTAATTTAAAGCTTCTGAAATCCAACGCAACATCTGGAGAGAAAAAGGGGATAGGGCCACCTAAAAGCTGATGAGGTTAAAAAAATTTGGAAGCCAAAAATTCCCATGTAATTTGGTTATAGCCTGTTATTTGATTCTAGTGAAGTAGCAGAATTGGCCCTTTTGATTGGAGGATGCTTGGGAAAAGTAAAAGGTAAAATGGTGGAAAGTTGGGGTTTTGAGTCGGAAATAGAGGGCATTAAGCAAGGGTTGAGATTCGGATGAGTAGAATTGAGTGAGATTGAAGCAAATGTGAAAACTGTCCTTACTTGGCGTCTTAGATTACCCAGCTGGGTTTTTTTTTTTTTTTTTCTCTTAGAAAAAAACTGGGTTCCTATTTGTACCTGGTTCTGCTTATTTAATACTGCGTCGATTTGCAGTGGGCTCGCTTAACCTTTACTCTGTTTCAGGAACTGTTGTTATAACACTTTATTACTGCTCTATGACTGTTACCCACCTGGCAATGATATAGTTTTTAATTTTTTTTTTAATATGTTTGATGAAGATGAATTATACAAGAAGAGGAGGTAGTTTTTTTATTTTTTCAAATCTCTCCTTAAAAGATTTATGTTTTAAATTTAAGATTTTTAATTTTAAATTTTAAATTTTTAATCAATTATACTGATATGTTAGGGTGTAATGATATAGTTATAATATCAAATATAATTATAAATTGGAAAGGGAAATGCTATTGAGATAATTATTTTGTCCAACCTTTTTGTATAACATGATATGTTATTAAAATGATTGGTTTTTTTAATTTATATGAGACTTTTGATATTGAATGCATCCACTTATTTAATGACATGTAGAAATTATATAAAAAAGTGAAACAAAAAGGTTGTTCCTATAGCACCATTCGATTGAAAAATAATTTTAGAACAACTTTTTGGTATAACCTCACGTGTCATTTAAATAATTGCTTCTTTTTATTCATATAAGACTTATAATATTAAATGTATCTATTCATTTAATAACATGTAAAAATTATATCAAACAGTTATATTAAAGAATTGTTCTTATAGAACTACCCTTATAAATTTAGAATTATAACAATATCATTAAATGAATAAATAAAATCAATTATGTAATAGGATATCATAATTATAAAATTTATGATGTAACTTACCATTTTCAGACTCAGTATATGCATTGAAATGTTGTCGGCGGTGAAGAATACGTTTACTTGAATGTTTAGTAGAGCAATTTTGCTTTTTAAATCAACCAAAAGCAAAATTAAATTATTATGAATATAATGGGTACTCAAACCCTTACAAACATAAAAAAAAGGTAGAGCAAATCTTATAAGTGGTGATGATGATTAGCAAATTCATGCCATGTGATTATTGTCTTTAGGTATGATTAGATCCATGGTCAACCAATTAACCGAGCAAATTAGCATCATTTTTCTTTGAAACAAAAATGTCAATGTTTTGTATTTTATGCTACTAATGTTCATGCATCCAATAGTAGTCATGCTGCAAATCCAACACAAAAGGCACAATTCAGCATTCTTGGTACATCGTATGTAATCATGATGACAAGTCAAATTCTACTATGATAATAGCAGTACTTAGGTTTTGATTTTTATATTACTACAGACAGGCACACAGTAGCTACGAGTGTTTTGATGTACTAAATTAAGGAGCAGCACAACCATTCATGTCATCACAAACCATACATTCATCTCCATTCATGTCATATCACAAACCATACATTCAGATGGCATGGGTATTTATTTACATGTGATCAGCACTAAGGTGTCTTTAGGTGAAGAGAACTGAGTTATGCGGCTTCAGCAAATCCAACCCTCATGTTCCCATAGTCAAATACAGTATGGAATTGACCCATGAAGACATCCCCCAAGATCCTGCAATGTGATAAATATGAGCAAAAAGATTAAGACAACGTCCAATCATATCATATATGCCATTGCCAGCATTTAGATAAAGGTATGGGTATTGAATCTCTAATGGGAAGGATAAGGAATACCAGAGAGGTCCACGAGGAGGTGGCACATCCAGTGCTGTAAATCCACTAATGCATTGAGCAGCATCTCCCTCTCCCACTTTCAGGATGTACTGATTCCCATCACCAGTGAAGAATAGAGAATGATGTGTCAGAACAAACACTTAAGAATTGTCATATCATCCAAGTCAACATGAGAGAGAATAAATAATCACATGTATCTAAAGTTAGGAACTCATGACACCATTTGATCCAAAGAGCAAGTGAGCAAGTGAGCAAGTGTTAAAAAACAGAATTACTTGTGGAAACGAGGATGTTGGGAATCAACTTATTCTACAGACAGCTAGTTTTCCTTTTTCCTTTTTGTTGATTTCCTTATCTTCTCCAGTTCAAGCACACATAAAGTACATGAACAGAATGGCAAAAACACTAAAACCCTGTATGCAAATTTGAATAGTTCATCATACCTGCTCAGGACTGAGGTCAAATATCTTTCCACCAATTGTAAAGGACACCTTTGGCATAGAAGATAGACTGTTGCAATCAACTGCAGATTCTCCCATTGGACTAGGCAATCGATCACAGAGCTGCAATTGCAGTTTTGGGAATAAGCAAGCAAAAAGTCTAAGAAGTAAAAATAAACTGGTAGGCAAGAGAAAAGATATTTATTCACCTCATTAATATAGTTAAGTATATGATCCTCTGTCTGGTTCTGCCTAAGCTGGTTCTGCATCCATACAACTGCCATCTCACAAGCAGAACATGTTGCATCGCGCAAACCACTGGATGCTTTCTGATTATTCTCATCCACAACACTAGCAATGCCCATACTGTAGACCAGGAAATATAGAAACTATTTATTTGAGAATCAAAAGTCTCAATATATAGCTATTATCTATTTGAGAGTCAAAAGAGAAATATGTACATTATCTCCAGATATACAGCAGCTAGAAAAAGAATAAAAAGGAAGAAAGAAACAGGAAAATTTGAGTCTAACCTTATGCCTTGGGTCCCATCAAATGCACACAAACCTATTTTTGAGCAAATTTTTTTAGGTTGGTCCTGCATATATGTGATAACAAGAAGACTTAGTGGCTCCAACAATCAATTTAACAATCTACAAATACCATGAAGCAAATCATTAAAAAAAAAGAAAAAAGAAAAAAGAAATACATACCTTTGCCAAAAGCATTTCAATTATGGTTTCCCCATATTGTGACACTACAAGCCTGCATTCTTGACTGACAACCCCTGTGGCTCCAATAGCATGATTGACTTCAGCAATAATGGCCTGGAAACGAAATATAAAACTTTCAGAGGGGAAAACAAATTGTTTGTTCTTGAATATGGCTAATGCCTCCAAACAGGATCAACACCAAATTACAACAAGTGATTCATTCAGTATTAAATCAAAGACGAATAATCACCAACACTGAAGCCCAAAAAAAATACCGACATCAATTATCAGGTTATCCTTTTAAACTAAGGCATTAAATATATTATATAATAGGAACTAAATGCTTGCTGCCCTATATTACTCATCCAATTTTGTCAATCTATTTCAACCCTCCCTTCCTGAACTGCTTCAATAGTTAACTACTAGCTTAAATGGAAACTATACACTGCTAACCAAAAAAAGAAAATGGAAACTACACACACCGTTGGACCAGCCAACAAAGAGGTTCCAGAATCAGCAATTGCAGCACAGCCATCGGCACAAAATCCTGAAACGAGCACAACAAAGTATGAAACCAATGAAATAGTAAAAGAATAGCAGTTCATATCACTTGGAAGTTGGAACAGAATATTCTCTTACCAGTTGTTTGTCCATCAACCAAGACATCACCCATGTCAAACTAAAAATAGAAGAAAACAGTAGCATATATTAAATACATCAGATAAGCCAATTATTATGCAGAACAAGGGGAAGGTTTAGAATATAGACCTGCCAGTATCCTTTTTGGGTCACGGGAACATATGTATGCTCACCCTTGTAATGATTTGGATCTACCCCACCAAAAACAAGTTCACCCCCTTGCTCTTCATTAGCATTGCGATTGAACCAAAATGAGAAAACAGGCTCTTTAACAAGACCTTGTTCAACCATATTGTACCTGGAGCACATTTAGAATAAGAAAATCTATGAAAGGTTTCAATGTTCTTAAACTATAAAACGCCCTCATGTCATTAACAACACTTAATTATGGTAAAGATGATAACACATAGTGCATACCACACAGGGACAGCCTTTCCAACAGAAATCTCTTGAAATCCAAGTCCAAGTATTCCATCAAACTTAGCAGCCATAAATGTGATGCTGGGCTCCCTGGTTGCCTCAATAAATTCCTGAAAATAGGAATCAAGAAAAACTAACATTGTCAACAATACAGATAACAGGCATTGTATTGAGTTATATTCCATATATAAATATATTTGAGGTCTGATGGTACCTGATCTTGAACCACTAGATCACCAACTTGTACATGGTCTTGGCTAAAGAATCCCGAAATAGCTCCAGTCCCATAATGGATATCAGCTGGCTTACCTGCATTGCAGATAGATCACAAAATCCTTCTTGTCATATTGATGAAAGTTTAGGGAAACAAAGCTCTTACATTCAAATGTAAACATTCATGCATAATCCTTAGGAATATAGGAAACCAATGTAATTTCAATTAAACAATAACGTAGCCACAGGATGGTTAAGGGAACAGAATAAATAATGCCTAAATCCCACCAATGCATATTTTTTAACCACAAATGTCAATTGATAGAAGACAATAGTTAGGGCAAGTGAGTAAAAAACCAACACATGCTAAGTTGAACAAACAGTAAAAGAGCCACAAGCATCAAAGTTGGACGACACAAATTTCATGAATTCCAAAATGACCAATACAAAGAGACCAACCATTCTTCGTGTATGTGCTTGATTGGCTTGACTTATACTTTGAATGGAAATAACAAGCGATCTGCATACAAATGACAGCAATAGATAAGATGCATTTAAAATTATACACAAGTCCTCACTTCAAATTTTTTTATACCAAATTAAGGCAAAGGAACTCACCGAGAAATAACACTTAGCTGATGGCACCCACAGATTAGAACTGCCAGTGTCAAAAATCACAGTGAATGTCTGTGCAGGTGTGCCAACACCAATTTCACCAAAATATTGAGCATCCATGTAGTTCTTTAAAGCTACAATATCAATATCCTCTGAGCTTCCCAAGTTCCCTTGAAGATGGTACTTCCTAATGGAAGCTCTCAATGCCTCTCCTTCTTCAGAATCAAGGCGGGCAGCTACCCGGTTGTTTGGATCAAACTTCCTCTTTTTAAGTCCAATCTTGACCAACCCACCATTGGGTGTGGAAAGGGCATCAGTTAAGAGAATAGAGCAGAAGAAGAGAACAATACAAGCAGTTCTCGAAAGTCCCATGTTGAAAACTGCAAGTTTAAGACAAAATAACTAACCTTTAGATCAGATACCATCATAACCACAGAACAATACAAACAGTTTTTAAAAGTCAAACAGCAAATTTAAGATAAAATTATTAACATTTAGATCAACACAACACTAAAATTAATAGTTCCACTGGCTATTTGCAATCAGCACAACACTTTGTGACTAAATTATATCAACCTGTGCCCTTTCTCATGAAAATTTTCTCAACTGGATTAATTTCAATTTTTTTTTATAAATCCCAATTTAGTGGAAGTCAAAACAATTTCCTTGCACTGAATCGAACGAAAAAAGGGTTCATTTTTCAGATCTCAAACAGGTAAAACTACTCGGATTTCTCAGCAACCAAACAGAATCATCAGAGAAGTCAAAACACAGAAGCATATGATTAATCACCAAAAAAAAAGCTAAGAAAAACTTCCAGATATTATCAAAACATAATTAGAAAAAAAAAATCGAGTGAAAAATTTGAGAGCACTTACTCCTGATGATCGATTCAAAGAGCAGTTGGGGCAGAGCAAAACGTAGAAGAAGTGAGGAGAATAAGGTATAAAAAAAATATACTAATATACTCTGGAGACAAAAACAAATCCTTAAACTTCTTCAATTGTACCATTTTAGTCCTTCTTGTGGCAATTAAGTCGTTCATAATGTACCTACTTTGAGATCGTTGCGTAATTGCATCGGACAAATTTGAGATCGTTGCGTAATTGCATCGGACAAATTTGAGAGTTGACTTCTTGACTAGCGGGTGTATTTGTATATTTTCCATATATTTTGAGGTAATAGAGTTGACTGACGGATGCATCGAGGAATAAGTATTCATACACGCGGCGTGAGCGTAAGGGATTATCCTTTTCTTAGTGTCGAAGTAATGGGAGGTGGCGGTCGGATGGAGAAAGAATTCCAAACTAGATGGACTGTGAATTTCGGAATCAACGGTTTAAAATGCGTGAGGTAGGCAAGTGTATCTTTATAGTTAACACTTAACAGGCTTACTCTGTGTTTTAGTTTTTGATTTTTTTTTTTGTGATTTTAAAAATATATAAAATATTAATTAAAATAAATATTAATTATTAAA